TACCCAGCAACGTTTCATGTTTCCGGAGGTCTCACCATTTGGATTCCCATTGCAACCACAACATAGGAACGTAATGGGAACCCAATGATTCAGAGTGGATGGAAGTAGCAAGTCGTGATTACTACATTTCATTCCCAACATTAAGTACTGACCGTGAGCAATCATTCCATGCCCTTTAGGGTTGACTTGGACAGCATAATCAGTGCAAATTCGCCACTTCAACCAAGTTGTGTGACAGAGTTTCGCCATTGTACTTGTTCATGAGTAGTTCATAAATCAAAAAGGTCAAATGCAAGTGAACTTTCACCAAAATTGGCAAATTTGTACCATATATCGAGGTTTGAAAGATATGGGTACACGTGTGTGGAGGCAACGGCGATGACAACGCTGCACCAGATGCACACGTCTTCCAACGAGTCGGTCAACTTTCTCTGTGGCGAGTTCATCCAGAGTGTTCGCGCCGTGTTTGTGATGCTGACGCTGACGCCCACCGCATGTGGGATCGCATGGCGTGGTACGGTGTCGCATGTGATATTGATATTGATATTACGCTGTAAAGTTAAAATCACTCAGCGGGCACTTAATGGCCTCGGCCGCGTACTAGCTGCATTGGCAGCTAGCGCACTTAAATACTTGCAAACCTTGTTGTGGTTCCAGGGGATAAGGAGGCTTAGGCCGCTGGTGGAGGTATCCCTGGGTCCGGAGGCAGGCGTGGTGGCCGAAGTGGAGGGTCGGCGTAGCCTACAAGAGGGCGGGGGGTAGTGAGGAGATCTTTCGGCTGTGCCATTGTAGTGTCTTGGCTGCAAGGTGAGCCCTGCGGGCACGGATGCGTCGATCATGGCCCATGGGGGCGGCATCATGGTAGCGGCGTTTGAGCCGGATGTTGTTATTTACCTCGGTGTGGAGGGGTAGTTTCGCTGCGGTGCGTATGTGGTCCACATTAGTAGTGCATGTCGATTGCCAGTGGTGACGAAGGGCGGCCCAGTGCGCCTTGAACCATTGAGTATGGAGACGAGGAGTGTAGAGGTGGGTGAGGGCGGCTGCCCAGGCTCGTGTGGTGTGTGTCATGGTGGGGAAGGTTTTCCAGCCGGAGGTAGCTTGGTAAATGGCCGGAAACTGTGTCGTGAGGTATGCCCGTGTGTCAAGGGCATAATGGTCGTATGTGGGGATGAAGGATTGGACCCAGTGGAGGCAGTGTGTGGGGGCACTAAGTAGTCGTGGGATGGCCTTCGTGGTAGTTTCTTCTGGGCGGAGTTGAGTGGTCGTCGGAGCCAATGGGTAGCGTCGATTAATGTGAGTGCTGATGGCCAGTGCTGCTGGGCAGAGGTGAGTAGGGCTACTGTGTTGCCAGTGGTGATGAAACCAATGTGGATTGCGGTGGGATTGCCGGAAGCGAGTTTGCACCCAGGTTGGGGTAGGGGTGTGGTATATGGAGAAACATGATGGAGTTTGTTCTGGCCCGGGGGAATGGTGAGGAGCCATGTTGTTTGGAGCTGGTCAGCCATTTTATGGCCGCAGGAGCCATCGTGTACGACAAACCAGTAGGTGGCCGGTATTTGGAGAGAGATAGCGGCTTGTATTGCCGTGGTTAGGAGGCGCCACCAAGTGGAGATGTATGTGCTGTGTGTGGCATCAATCCACCAGTGATGGTTCGTTCGGGGGCGGGGGATGATGCAGTGGGGGGAGTGTCCAAGTGGGCCCTGAAAAGTAGCACCATTGGGGCCGCCCATCCACTGTCCGAACCAGAAGTCGAGTGGTGCAAGCAGGGGGGTGGAGCGTAGGGCGGTGTGATATAGCCAGCGCGGTAGTAGGGATCCCGGCTTTGGGCACTGTTTCGTTTCCCAGGATTGCTGGGAGGTGGCTAGCATGAGGGATTCTGGTCGGGGGGGTCCAAGGAGGTGGTGCATGTGTAGGGCATGTACACAGCTGTGCGCGGTAAGGGGGATCATGCACATACCCGTGTTGGGTGATGGGTGACCGCCGCGGGTTTCCATTGTGGGCGTTTAGGTCCAGGCCAGAGTTGTGCTATGGTGGTGCCATGTCCAGGGATGTATATGTCTTGGTCTGGTAGCCGGCCTTGTTGAAGGACCGCTTGTGTAGCGAGAAGGATGTGTTGGGTTAGTGGGACGGCCTTGGGGCAGGTGGGAGTTGTGAGGCCGAATCGGTGTTCCTGCAGATCGGGGCACGTGCGGCAGTAGGCCTCCCAGCGTGGTTGTATGCGGTGTTTTCGGGCGTTGGTGTGTAAAGTATAGCATATCGCGCAAGTAGAAGTTGAGGGCGGGGGGGTCCCATGTACATATGTCCCCGGTGGGGAGTCGGAGTGGCTGAACTGTCTGGTTTGCGGGCTTGTACCTTGGGCCAATTCCAACGTCCGTACACTGCACCTAGCCATGGGGCCACCGCCCCAGTGACCGGCCTGCCGTGTTCTCACGCAGCTCCCATGAGTCTGGGATAATGAGGTGCGCATGATTCGTAAGTGGAAGGAGCTGGTGGGCTAGGGTGGCAAGTGAGTCCGCTTCGGCGAGCAATAGGCGTTTTGTTCGGAGGGTGGGATCGGTCGTGTCATCGAGGTCCTGGTGCGATCGGGTCCAGTCGCCGGTAAATGTTCCGTTGTCTGTGAAGAGCGCCATGGGTGAGCGGAGTTCGACCCTGTATATGTTGCTGTAGCGTGGGAGGCCACCGCGGCGTTTGAGGGATCTGGCGAGAACAACTAATCCAATGGCTTTTGTGTTGTCGCAGATTTGGAGCGCAGCATCTCCAGAGTGATGGAGGCCCACTTGCAGGCTATGGAGTTCACAGCGTGTGGGTGTGATGTGGTTGGCGTGTACTTGGATGGACCCAGCGAGGGTAGTACCATCTCTGCCCATGTAGCTCCATGTACTGTGCGCGGCCGGGGTTCCTTGGTGCGTGACGCTGCCGTCACCCACCACATGGGTGCGTACATCCCGTCGGGGGAGGGTATGTAGACCGTACGTCGGTGTGCTGTGGTGCGGAACTACAGGGTAGTGTGGGATGCAGGCCGGGTGATGCCAACCTCCACAATCGCGACAGATGTTAGCGTCCGCTAGGCGGTGACAGGTGGTACAGGCTGGCGTCGCGTTTGGGGGGGGCTGATGCCACGTAACGTTCGGTACCAGGTCAGTAGTTCGCCCGGTAGTTGAGGCAATGATGGTACGATTGGTTCCCCTTTGTGGGTGATGTGTGCGCGTGGGTTGGTCCAGGCCGTGTCAGTCCAGGGAATAAACTTGGGGCGTTGGGCTCGGCTGGTGGGTTAGGAGGCTGCCTGTAAGTACAGCACAGCCCGTAATGGGTACAAGGCGGTGTCGGCCTCGTGCTTCGCGTGGTGTTGGGGAGTATCAGAGGTCAGAGTCTTTACGTAGCTCATGCCAGAAGGTGACGGCAATCTCCGTGCCTTCCTGGGTTTGGCGCGTTTGGAGGCTAGTTCGTCGTCCAATGCGGTAGCTGAGGGTGGGGGGTCGGTTATCGGGGTGAGTTAGGTGGTGTGGGTTTACTAGCATGGCGTGAACCGGGATATGTAGAGTTTCGTAGCCCTGTGTGGGGACAAAATATGTGCGACCGAGGGTGTGTGTGAGGTATGGTAGGGACGTGCGGTAAGGGTTTGGCTGTGGGGGAGGCAGGTGTTGGGTGGTAGGATGGGGCCCCCACTGTAGCGTTTGTTGTCGAAGTACCGGTGGGACGGGTGGCTCAGCCTTGGGGATAGGGTCCCAAATGGGTGCAAACCGTTGGAGCGTGAGATTTGTCCATCCAAATTTCGTACGGATGGACGGTAAGCTGAGCAGCATGGTGCCCTTGTGATTTGTGATGTCCCCCACCCAGCGTACCTTTTTGGCGTGGAGCTTGTTGATGGAGATGAGGGTCGTGCTCAGGGCCGGTGTAAGGTGAGCCCAGATTGGGCGGTCGTTGGGACGAAGCGGGCGGCTGGCGGCTGGTTGGTGCCATTGCGTAGTGATGGAGAGGGCGGGCTGGAAAGTGGCAAGGCCCCGGAGCATCGTGCCTAGTAGTGTGCCGTCTGCGGCAGGTGGGTGTATGCGGAAGGCGAGGAGGTGGTCAGTAAGCCCGCTATCCAGTTGGTAGGCCTCGAGTGATTCCATGAGGAGGTCATGTGTAGGGGAGCCTCGGTCGTTGGCAATACGGAGGAAGTGGTATAAGAGTTGGCTGTGGCTGAAACGTTC